CTACTTTGTTCTTTTTGGAGTTGGAATATCCTTTTTTTCCTTCTTTCTAATTCACTACCAAATGCTTGTTCGCAAAATTACCGTCAGCTGTCAGATTATCGCAGATAGACACGTACATCCAACCTCGCATGACCCCCTTTTAGTTGATGAGCTAACACTTTCCCATTTGCTTATCATCGCACTGCAACTTTGAGGCACATAGCAGGACACCATTTATGCTACATAACAACACCAAAGAAAAACTATTAAGCAACGTCGATCAGGAAGTCAAATTCTGGCGTTGTTCTTACTTTGAAAAGCAAATTTCCAGGAGATGAAACAGGTGAATATTCAATCCCATGATTAAACACAGCTTAATTACCTTTTAGTTTTTCATAGATGAAAGGCCTGGATTGAGAAGGTTTCTGTGCATTAACCCATTTGTCACCCTCCAACGTTACTACCCCACCACTAGCAACCTTTCAAGAGGGTTTCTCAAGTGGCCTTTTGAAAGATTTCATAGTTAACAATATCTCCTTATCAAGTTCTAGGGATTTGCAATGTTCTCGTTCGCGGGATTGGGCCCAATCCATTGAAAGAATCTTACACCTTGAAGCTAGTTTGGCCATTATTTGCCGAAGAAAGGGAGAACAAAAATTGAAGAATTGAATTTTAATGAAGGTATCCAATTCGAAATTAATAGTACTAACTCGATGGACTCTTAGACCATGCTTAGGTGACATGTTGCCGGTTTTTCTGTTGAGGGTTTACAAACAAGACGGAAAAAGGAAAAAAATAAGATTTCACTCAGATTTGTGTCCTTGAGACCACTTAGATCTAGATTTGATAAAATGTCAGAATTTATAGAATGTATTAAGTTCAAATTTTACATTTTAGCTGGAGAGGCTTTCACTATATTAATCATTCCCTCAATAAAATTAGAAACGGGATATTGAATAATTAAAATATCTGGAAAAAAAATTACAAAAAAAAAAAATAAAATAAAATAAAAATAATTTGATCCTCATTATAACAAAATATCTCTGATATTAAGGTATATTAAAATTATTTTTGATTTGATTTTTTAATTTAAACATTAATCTATTTTTATTAAGTTAAAATTGATATATATATAATATATATATATTTAACTCATTGCTGGGTGTACATAAAATGCTTAAAGTTATGTATGGTTTGATTTTTCGAAATTTTTTTAAAAAATTAAAAATTAATTTGGTTAAGAAATAAAAAAATAAAAAAATTATTTTCATTTTGTTTAAAAAATAATTTTTTTATTTCTTATTTCTTGACCAAATTAATTTTTCATTTAAAAAAAATCTAAAAATCAAACCATACATAGCCTAAGAATCTTTTGATAAGTCATTTTTTACGTTGGCAACTTATTTAATTATTTGTTAATTTTACGATATTTTTACCATTTGAGACCTGTTTGGTAACCATTTTGTTTTCAGTTTTCAATTTATATTTACAAAAATTTTAAAAACTGTCATAAAAGCTTGTTTGATAATTTTTTTAGTTTATAAATGATTGTCTTAGTTTGTAACCTTGAGAAAAAAAACGTAAATTCAAAAAATGAGTTTTCGTTGGTTTTTAAACAAAATTTTACAAATTTTTCTAACAAAATTATTTTTTCAATTAATTTTTTTCCAATTAATATTTTTTTTTATGATTTTTTTTTCCAATTAATAATAAAAGTTTGTACGACGTGTATGTGGCGTGCCGTTAATACATCAATTACACATGACGCACATACGATAACCGTAAAAAATATTACACTTTTCACAGCGCACAGAAAGTCAGTCGTTAAAAATATTAAATTTTTCACGACGCACAAAAAGTCAACCCTTAAAAATATTAAACTTTTTATGACGCATAATCTAAGTCGTTAATAATAAGATAAAAAAAAATAAGCGCGAAAATATAAATTTTCTCCATAAAAAAAAAAGCAGCAAAATAAATTCTCTTATACGCTTTTTTCCCCAAGAATCTCTTTGGCTTCTAATTGGTTCTAATTTGGAAAGGGAACATAGAGAGGGAAGGGTTTCAATCTCTGTAAGACCGAATCGATCTCTCTTGTGTGTCTGAAATCAGAGTTATCCATCTCTTCTTCATGGTGTTCTTCCTGTAAGGAGTCCTTGAAAGCAACGATCACTACAAGAAATTACATTTTGCAACGATCACTACAAGAAATTACATTTTTGGCGACTACTTTTGGTGACGACGTCAATTTTTCATCGCCAAAAGTATATTTTTGGCGACATAGTGATCAATTTCGTTGGTAAAAGTATACCTTTACCGACACAATTTGTTGCCGTCGCTAAAAAGGCATAACATTATTTTAGCGCCAAATTTTTTGGTTGGCGCCAAAATTTCAAAACTTTTACCTACGAGGCTTATGTTTTAGCAACACAATGAGCATTGCTATTAGTGTGTTTACTTTTGACGATGACAAGTTGGCGTGGGGAAAAAGTTAAACATTTAGTGACGATAACACTATTCGTCGGTAAAAGTTTGCTAGTGAAACAAGGTGATCTAGTGATTTGTGTTTTTATTATAACTTTTGAAAGAATTTTAAATATTCTAGTTATTGAATTGTAAAATTAATGTGATCATTGAATTAGATCACAAAAATGAACCCATCAAGCCCAAACACACTCTTTAAGTTGAGATGGTTAATTTGAGATAATTTAGAAAAGTGGTTAGATTATCAATTTCAATATGTTTAGTTTTATTTTCATAAACTAGTTTCAAATTTTTTTTCTAAAAAATTAAAAAAAAAAAAATTGGGTGAAAAATTAAAAAATACTTATTATTTTTGTATAATTTTATCTTTTAGGTCATAAATAATTTTTAAAATTTTAAAAATATGTTTTTGATTTTTATTACTCTCAAATTAATTTTAATTTTTTCAAAAAAAACAAATCTAAAAATTGTTTCGGATATATATATTTTTTTAAGTTTGTCTTTGGTGAGGCAGTGGCAATTTCCCTCCCAAAATTCCACCCCTCCCCTCCCTTCTTTTTTTTTTTCCCTCCATCATCAAATCTCCCCTCATCACTCTCTACGATTTCACTCTTGCACACCCTTCTCTCACAATTCGTAGTTCTCTCTTCCTCATGATTTCGCTCTTGATCACTGGGTTTGTGCCGTTTACTGCTGCCGTGCGAGACGGTCGGTGCTTCACTCTGCCCTTATAGATTTGTTCCCTTTTTGCTTTGATTTGTTCCCTTATAGATTTGCTCCCTTTTTGCTTTGCTTTGCTTTGTTCCCTTTTTTATTTTGTCCCTTTCCCAGACTATACAGTCAATTGGAGTGAAGCGTTGAGTAGTAAATTTAATTAATTCCCAGTGATCGAAACTTGACAACGACGACGAAGGTGTGCACGTTAAACCAGTAGAGAGAGAGAGAGAGAGAGGAGCCGTGCTGTGCCCTGTATCTGGATGCGACTCGATCGGCGATGCCTAAGATGAAGCATCTGCTGCGAAAGCTTCACATCGGCGGTGGCTGCAACAACGGCAACCACCACCCGTCGCCGCCGCAGACGACGGAAGTGACGCCGCCGTCGTCTTCTTCTTCGACTTCGTTGGAATCGGCATTGATGAGAATCAGAGCGGTTGAGTTGGCAGAGAATTCGGTTGATTTCAATTTCTTTGAAGAGGAGTTTCAGGTACAACTTGCCCTAGCGATCAGTGTTTTCGACTACGATTCACGCTAAGATCCTGAAACGGTGCAGATCAAGGACGCCAAGCAGATTAGCTCAGGGTGTGTGCCCTCTGAAACCCTGACTGAGTCTCTCTCTTCGGTATTGGGTAATGCTTTAATTTTGTTTTTTACATTGCATATGGAAATCTTTTGTATGTGCTTTGGTTGCATTTATTGGCAAATTTGATCGAATTGCTTCAATATTCTGACTCCAGATCTGTGTTTTTTTGTTTATAGATATTAATGAGTCACATTTCAATTTTATATTTGATTCATAGCTTCAAATTGATTAGATTCTACTATAGTTATTTTTGTGTACATATGTACCAAGGTTTCAAATAATGGTGGCATTGATGCGGTTTTGAGGTGTAACGGGCTTAGCATAACTGGTACGGCAACCAAAGCTGTGAAATTGCATTTGTTGAGGTTTAAAATGTCTTTTTAAGTGGATTTAGTACTAAATTTTATATGATTTTTAATGGTGTCGTAATGACCAGTTAGGGGTTTTACATGAATTTATCTGTTTTAGAGAAATGAATCCAGATGTTGTCATTCAAATAATAATAAATCACTACTTAGGACAATTATGTGCAAAATACGATGATTATTTATTTATCATTTGATAAAGCGCATGTTGGGTAGTTGTTTATTAAGTTTGGTTAGTCACATAGTCATTCTATGCCAATTAATGGTGTAAATCTGAGTTTGGGGGTGAAGGAACTTATATTATGGAATTACTGCTGATGCTTTCATTTTGGAATAATTTGTGATATCTACAACTATACAAAAATGCATATTTACTCAAACTATTAAATCTTAATGATAAAAACTGGATGGCACATGCTTGATTGAAACACATGGTTACACCTCTCTCCATGCGTGTGCATGCAACATATTACTCTCTTTTCTCCATGTTCAATTTCTATACCAATATTGATACTACATAAAGAACTTTGAATCTGGTATGCACTTACTAGTTCTTGTATTAAAGCTACTACAAGTTATTGTTGTTGTCTTCTTTAGCTTAATACACATGAATAACTGAAAGTCTGGAATTTTTATTTTTTAATCTTTCATAAAATTGCAGTGATTCTTTTTGATGGTGTGAAGTATAGTATATATATATATATATTTGGGCTCTAATTGAAGCTGATAACTCTGCGACATAGGTTTTGAGGCAATTTGATAAATGACATGACCCTTCATGTAGGTGTGATGTTTTGCAAAAGGATCAAGTCTTGGAGAATCATGTCCATTGTTAACATCATATAAATGCTCCTAATTAACATAGTGTAGTGTATATTTGATAATTTGACTTGCAGTCAATCCAAAGAGAATGCAACAATAGATATGCACCAAATTCCATTCAAAAAAACAATAGAAGATTATATTCATATTACTCTAGGACATATCCTTACTAGTCAAATTATTGCTTCTAAAATTATTTGTTGGTCAATATAACCTCTAGAAAAATGAGTAATACAAGTGGGGCAGCAGTGAAGACAATGGAGAACAAATATTAAGTTTTGTTGTCTAGGCTTGATTATTCATATAAATGGAGAGATTGAAGAGATGTGTACCATAGAATTAAGGTTAAGAGATGGTCTAATTGGAGAAGGGATTCAGTTGTATTGTGTATTCAAGTTATACAACTGCAATTAAAATTTAATTTTTAGGAAAGAACCATTTTCTATTGGAGAGAATGTTGTGTAATCAATGATCACATAGGGCGAGCATGGTAGAAACTGAGATCTTTAGATTGATGTATGGGAAGGCAATAAAGGATAAAATTAGGAATTAGTGTTTTCTTAAGATTGTGCAAGTAGAATTCATTGGAGAGTGAGAGAAAACAAATTAAGATGGTTGGATAACATGCAAAAGAGATGATTGGTTGCATCATCTCTACCCTCTTTCTGATGTAGTTGATGCTACATCTACACATGTATTCCAAACTATTAATTTTGTTTATTTATCTGGCAGCCCTGATGATTAGGAGTGTTTCCTTGATTACTTAGGCTGTTTGCTCGAGGATGACAGTAGCTGGTGTAATGGTGCTGATAGTGATCCAATTCATCCATCAAAATCTGTGGACTGCAAGCTTGCGCACTTGTCAGATGAAGTGGTGCACATTTTAATCCTTGCATTACATAAATTATTGTTTGGTACAGTTCTTTCCACAAAAGTTTATGCTGAATTTGATTTGTGTGACTTGGATGTGTGCAGTTTGATTCTCATATATTAATTGCGCCAGCTTTTGTACAAAAGTTATTCGCAGAAGCCAGTACTGACTCTGCAAGATGTCCATACTTGGCAAATCTTGAGATTGAAAGGAGGAAATTCTTGTTTGGAAAGGGAGATGATGACAAACTAATCGAGGCTCTAATGCAATATTTTTTCAGGTATAGTACAACCTTTATGAATTTCTTACTTTTTTGGGCAAATTACATATACCTCCCTTGAGGTTTATCAAAATTACAGATACCCCCTGAGGTTTGAGAAATTACAGATACCCTTGAAGGTTATATTTGCATAACAAATTAGGGGGCAAATTGTTATGAAAATATAAACCTCAGGGGGCAATTTGTTATGAAAATATAAACCTCAGGGGGGTATCTGTAATTTTTGAAACCTCAAGGGGTATCTATAATTTAGATAAATCTCGAGGGAGGTATATGTAATTTTCCCTAATTTTTTTGATGAACTATGGGAAAATGCTATATCACATGGACTCAGGTACAAGTGTCGGGCTTGTGCCTAAGCATTAGACCACCCTAACTCTAAATATTAGTATATAGGGATATGTATCCAAACTCTATGTTACATGAACATGTCTTGAACATTTAAATATATTACATATTGTATAATATTTTGACTTAATATGATATTAATTATTTAGAAATGTATTTGAAATCAAATAGGAATTGGGATTCAGGGGAAAAAGGGGATTTCTATCTCCTATCCACATGAGTGGCTATAAATTTATCTTTACTATTAAATGAAAGTCTTTTCTTCTTCTAACATCACAAAAAATTAGACGATCCAAGCTTCTAATTTTTCGGAAGTTGGACATGTTACACTTGTGAAATTCAGCCGTAACAGGCAGTGACTGCCCATGCCATGTGTGTGTGTGTGTGAAGCCATTAGATCAATCATGGCAGTTACCAAGCTTATGGCAGTTACCAAGCTTGAAGCAGTGAGATTTGACAGGGTATTCTAGGCATAGAAAAACTCGTGACAAAGTTTCAAAGAGTTGTGCGCTTTATATAATAGTATAGATATGTATTTTTTTTTGCAATTATAGTTTCAATAGTTTCATGATACATACTATTGAATTTTATATATTAGCTATTCTTGTAAATTGTGGACGTTAAAAGTGACATAGATTACTTGTTTTTATATATTTATTATATGTCGGATATTTGAATATTATACATCAATTAGGCACCTCAATTAGGATTGTATATACTGGATTGATGAGACCTAAGAAAGTTTCATGTTTCGACAAATCTTGAACTTGCCTTGCCCCTTTTAAAACCTTGAGCTACATTACATTACTCTTGAAATCACTGGACTGATGAAAGCACACAAAGACAAAAATTGGTAGTTAGATTGTTCCAACAGAGTTTATTTATTTATTTATTTTGCTTGGAGACGGAGAGTTTATTAAATAGTGTAATTCTGCACAGGTTGATCAGCATACTAGTTTCTCTTTTATCACCTTTTAGCCGAGTATTTATGCATGTGTACATTCTCTTTGCTTCTCTTCCTAGAATACTCGTTGTTGTGTGTTTTTCAGAATGCTTTCTAATAGAGAATTAGCTAGACACTCTAAAAGAAGAAAACAAGCCCATTTGACTGAGCTAGAAACACAGGTTTTGTCCTTTATCTTGTCCCTTGGGACCCAGCCTATAACACTCTGCACTTTCTCATCAAAGAATACAACACATGTATTTGCTGCATTAGATAAGCCAACTGTCATGTACAGTAGTAACAAGAAATTACTCTCCAACAATGTAAATTTGAAAGAGGTTAGTCATATGTGCCCTTTCAACTCTGCTACTTTTCCGGACAAGTAAATTTAGTTCTCTCTCTTAATTTAAAGTTTTTTCCCCCTCATCATCGTCAATTGAAATGTTGGAACTTGATTCTTTTGTATTTTTGCTTAAACACACTTCTTGAATTGGAAAAGAAGAAATCTTTAATTGTTATTCTAGTCCATGCTTCTAAAGGTAATTATATGCCACTTCTTGGTAATTTTAGCTCAACAGTTTGTTGCTGTTCTCTGTTCTGGTGTATTTGGTATATATGCTGTTCTGCTCTGCTAATCTGGTGTATGTGTAATTATCTACTCTGTTTTAGGTTAGATATGTTCAACAAAGATTGGATTCAACAAAGATTGGATTCTACTCTCATCTATTCATTTTAGGCCCTGATTCTTGAAATCAAGTGATTATTAAGGTAAATGTTTTTCTTTTATTTCATTAGCATAAGAAATATGAATGAAATTATGGAATTCAGAATGTTTGAATTGTTTAGTATATTTAAGTGATTTACGGATTATAATTTTATAATTTTTATATTTTATAGTTTTGATTTTATTTTTTATTTGTATCTCATAATGCATGCTATCAACTTATTATGATATCTAACTTTTCGAGGGACTGCTCATATAACACCTAGCTTATTGATGAATTCAACCTTATATGTTACTTCTGTTAGATCGCCACTAATCCCAAAAGGTCAAGTTGTGTGGAAAGAGGCCCAACAATGCACATTGAGCTCTCCGACACCCTCGTCATGTGCAATCCCGTCTTGCATGTGGAGATGAAAACATCCTAACATGTGGAGAAGCAAAATGCCAACAAGGAAACAAATGCATATATAGAACTTGAACCTAAGACCTTTATTAACCTGTGGTTTGACACCTTATTAGACAAACACCAGTAGTCCAGAAAATTTAAGACCTTAGGAAAGGGGCCCAACAATCATTACTTTGCTCTCCAATACTGTCCCTTGGATTTATCTTTGAAAATGAATTTTCAGTTAGCCTTTATGCATCACTGCAGTATGTACTGAGCATTGTAGTCTATCATGGTTACTTGCACTTTTTTACCCCTTTATGTCATTTTCAAGTATGGCTAGTCAGAGTGTTAATGTAAATCATGTACGATGTATCTACTTCCTACCGTGTCATTTACATGTAAGTTTGTGCACTTTTGTGTTATTTCTTCCCTGAGAAAAACCAAATTGGGTCTGTGATGTGCAGGTCCCCATGGATCATACCAATTCAAAGATAGGAACAGATGCACCACCAAGCAGTACTCCAAACTGGACAATTAACATTTCAGATGTGAGAAAAATACTTACTAAAAGTGCACACTAGTCGGTGCTTATAAGAAGTTCTTTTTATTCATAAACTGGACATCAGTGTGAATGTCTAAACCACTAGTTGGTGCTTATAAGAACTGCTTTTTATGAATTGGGTATCAGTGTGAATGACTGCACTTTTGTCTTCAAATGCCTATATTCGGATATGTGTCCCCCTTATGTCACCAAGATGATGAGCACAGAATTTTGGACTTTGTTGAAGTGACTAAGATTCTGTCTTGCGTGAATCTATTATCTGCCAGTTTAACCAGTTTTGATTTCTTTAAATTTTGTTTTGCAAGTGGCAAGAACCACGCCGCATTCAAAATTCAGTTAATGCAATTTGAATATTTCTTCTCCGTAATCACATTTTCTTAGTCATTACATGTACTTAGCTATTCTTTTACTTTTTTTTTCTTTTTTTTTTCATAGGTAAGAACAGTTAAAGTCAGTAATATCTCACTAGCTACCTCTGAGAAGGATATTAAGGAATTCTTCTCTTTTTCTGGTGATATCCAGTATGTTGAAATACAAAGGTCAGCTCTTTTGACTTACCTAGTGTTAAATTTCTTGCATAATCAATGCTCCATCGAGTTTGTGGCACGTTCTGCAGGGAAACTGAAACATCTCAGCTTGCATACGTTACCTTCAAGGAATCACAGGGAGCAGATACAGATATGCTTTTGACTGTATGTCAATTGATTTTCTATATCAGTCTTGATCTCAATTTTTTCATTGAATATTTTTAAAATAAAAAGATTTTGACTGAACGATGTAGTTCTGTACAATGTTGTAGAAATCAAACGTATCCGGAAGGCATGAAACCCTAATGTATGAAACATGTGCCTTATATTTTGTAAAATTAGGAAATTTCTAAAATATTCAGTTTAATAAAGATGTACGCAAAAAAAAATACAGAAAGAAAAGAAGATAACAAAACTTTACTTACAAAGAAAAAATTCTCAGTTAGGGGCTCACTCCTTGGAAATTTTTTGTCATGTGAACCGCAAGGTCTCACCTGAACAGTTTTTTAAGCCTCCTGATGGGAAGCTTGGATGTGTAAGCTTCCCAATCTTTAGAAATATTTTTTATGCAAATGGGTGCCATTTCAAAATTTCTATTAACCCTTAGATTTATTTTATATTTTTATATTTTTGGCCTTTTTGATTCAGGGATCCACAATTGCTGATCTTTCAGTCTCTATTACACGGGTTGAGAATTACCAGCTGCCTCCTATGCTCCTCCCCTAACCCCTGTAAGTACCACGACTGTTAAAAATAGTACTTTAGTATCTGTTTTTATAATACTGTTCTATCTATTCATTCTGAAAATTTATAGATAATGCGAATGTAAAAAAAGTTGGATGGGCTAATGGCAGGTAAATTGGTCATGGACCTACTCACCTGATCCTGAGGCCCACATTGTAGTTTTTTGGAAACCTTAGTCACTTTACTGAAACCGCTATTAATGAATATATCAAGCCTTTTGTTTTAACTAATAATGTTTATATATCAATGGATTTTATGTGTTTCAGCATGCGTAGTGGTATTTTTAGTTATTGGGTTAAATCATCTGAAAGAAAATTAGGGTTAAGTAAGAAGAGAAGAAGGAAGAAGAAGAGCAGAGAAATAAGTTTAGGGCTTTATCATCTACTCTGCACCTCAGAATGTATTTATATTAGTGCGATATGAGATTACAAAACTACCTTTAAAATAATATGAAAAACTAACAACTCTAACAATCTAGTTTAGATCAACTATACTTGCAGACCAGTTTATATATTGGCTGTTTATCCTTGTGCCCTGTAAGTTCACAATACTGGTCTCTTGTACTTAAAAAATGAGGCCTCGTGGTAAATAAGTTCTGTTGGGTATTTCCTGCAGTTTTAGTTATTAGTACATTTAGTACTTAGGGTGGTAGAATGTTTGGAAAATCATACTGTTTTATGTTATTGCCAGGTTATTTGCTATAGGAAAGTACCATCGGAAGAACAAATCAAAGACCTGTTGCGCAAGAACAACTTTGAGGAAGCCATCTCCCTGGTGGAGGAGCTTCAAAGTGAAGGTGAAATGACAAAGGAAATGCTGTCCTTTTATAGTACATTTTTTGTATTTTTATGTATTTATTAATTTCTTAATATATTTTTTCACAAATATTTTCTTTTTTTTTTTCTAGATACATCATGCAGCTAAAAAAGTAAAAAAAAAAATGCTAAATTTTTTTAAAGTATTCACTAAAAATAAATAAATAAATAAACATAAAAAACCCAATTTAAAGAAAACTTAATTCAAAAAACTCAAATCAAACGCACTGATTATTATTTTTTAATTACCTTTATTGAAATCAATCGTAAAAATTTACGTGAAATATTTTTGTAAACATTTTTAATAAGTGCCCTCTCTAATTTAGTTTTTTGGCTCCGCCACTGGACGTGTCAATAATAATGGAGATCCTCTGGCTCCAGGGGATGTCCCTTCATCAGTGGTACCACGTGTTGCCCACACTACACATCAATCAGGCGAGTATGGGGTAAATGTGGCAAGGACAGTCTTTCGAGTCTCTACTGCAGCTAGTCGTGCTACGACATCAAATTTCGCTAAGGCTTCTTATGCAATAGGTTTGGCTCATAGTGGGGTTGCAATTCTTCTTGCTGACACCCACTGGAAAGCAGCAACCCCCATTCTGGCAAAGGCTGGCATTGTTGCTTGTGCCGTTGAACTGCTTGCAGATATGGGGAACGATCTCCCCCTGCCCTTGTTTATGGGGGCCATGACTGCTACAATTTTTAGCACCATAGCTGCGATGGTATTTTCCAAACATCTCGCCTGAATATGGGATTTTTCAGAATAAAGATTGTGAGCTCTAATATTCCTGAATATGGGATTTAGAGCTCTCTATCGTTGTTGCAATTTTGCATCTTTTTTGCTTTTTATTTATTCATTAGCGTGCAAATCTCTTTTCAACTTTTCCCTGGACTGAACTATTAGCCCTCCTGGTCAAAGTAAATAATGCAACTATAATGATATGCTCTGCATGAATATTAGAAATTTCATATTTCTTTCTTTTTTTACTTTTTATTTATTCATTAGCGTGCATATCTCTTTTCAATTTTTTTGCAAACTGAACTTTTAGCCCTCCTGCACAAAGTAAATAATGCTACTTTAATGATATGCTCTGCAGGAATACTAAAAATTTCATATTTCTTAATAATCAAAGCTTCTACGTAAAGTATTGAAACACCAAAAAAAATAAACTTACAAACTTTTTTTTTTCCTTTTTTAATTTATTTAATAAAAGCATAATTTAACATTAGTAATATATTAATTATATTTCTTTTTACAACTTGTTTATCAGTTGATGAGACAGAGGTTCTCATAATGCTGATGCCATATTAATGAGATTCACATTACGAACTATTGAAAACTTTTGAAATTTCAAAAAAAAATGAAAACTTCCACATCAATAGATAATTGAGTTGGCATATACAAAGAATCGATTAACTTATAATTTCTCTTTTATTTATATTTTAGAGTTGAGTAGATGTAACTTTTTTTTTGATCCTGTTAAACTAAATAGCTAATAGTTTTTGTGTATTATTTTAATAGTAGATTAGTTATTTCTCCTGCTTGAATTTAAGTATCACTCTACATGACCAGAGGCGGCAAGAAGGAGGGCGCATGGGGTCATGCGCCCCCCCTGAGTTTTGGAATTTTTTTTTTTGACAAACATTAAGGAAATATTTTATATAAAAATATTATTTAGAGTGAAATGTCAATGAAATCTTTAAAATTATAAGAACAATAATGATTGTTTTGATTGAAAATAAAGAGAATACGATATTATTATCTATGAAAATTTCAATATAATGGTGATCTCTGTCATTATTGACATGCAAACATAATTAATCTCAACAAAAACATTGAATTTATTGAATTGTTAGTTACATTTAACATGTAGGGTTCATCCTCCATGTTTTTCTTTACTATTGGTTGGCAATATCACATGTCAATGATGACGTGATATGACTATTATATAGAATATTTAGGCATATTTTGTATAAGAAATTGCTTTATCATTATGTAATTACTTTAAAACAATATATCCATGACTTTTTTTAAAGTTGTCCATCATACACCAAGTACAGATAACATGTTCACTTTGTTTGATTTGAGTTTTCTAAAAACACTTTTCATAAAATTCAACTTTTTTATTTTTCGTATGTTTTTTTTAATGAATTTATTTAACATTTTAAGCATTTTTTTTTATTTTGAGACACACCTAACATATATACTCTTAAAAAGTATAATTTTAGCCAAAAACAATCTATTAAAAAATTCACTAAATGCCAAAAATATAAAAAAAATAAAAAAATAGTACATTTTTTGAATTTTTATGTATTTATTAATTTTTTTAAATTTTTTTCACAAATATTTTTTTTAAGATATGTCATGCACCAAAAAATGTAAAAAAAAAAAAAATTGCTTAAAATTTTAAAAATATTCACTTAAAACAAAAGTAAAAATAAAAAATTCAACTTTCAATTTTCTGACAAGAAAATTCAAAAAACACGAACCAAACACACTGATTATTATTATTATTATTATTATTTTTATCGTTCTTGATGTCAATCGTAAAAATTTATGTGAAATATTTTTATAAACATTTTCAATATTATAATTAATAAGTGCCCCCTCTAATTTATTTTCTTGGCTCTGCCCCTGGACGTGTCAATAACAATGGAGATCCTCCGGCTCCGGGGGATGTCCAATAATCAGTGGTACCACGTGTTGTCCACACTGCAGATCGATCAGGCGAGTATGGGGTAAATGTGGGAAGGGTACTCTTTAGTGTCTCTGTTGCAGCTAGGCGTACTACGGCATTTAATTTTGCTAAGGCTTCTTATGCTATAGGTTTGGCTAATAGTGGGGCTACAATTCTTCTTGCTGATACCCACTGGAAAGCAGCAACCCCATTCTGGCAAAGGCTGGCTTTGTTGCATGTGCAGTTGGAGTGCTTGCAGATATGGGGAAGCATTTCCCCCTGCCATTGTTCAAGGGGGCCATGAGTGCTGCAATTTTTATCATCATAGCTGCAATGGTTTTCACAAAACGTCACACTTGAATATGGGATTTTACCAAATAAAGATTGTGAGCTCTAATATTCCTAAATATGGGATTTAGAGCTCTCTATCATTGTTGCGATTTTGCCTCTTTTTTAACTTTTATTTATTCATTAGCATGCAGTTCTCTTTTCAACTTTTCCTCGGACTGAACTATTAGCCCTCCTGCTCAAAGTAAATAATGCAACTGTAATGATATGCTCTATAGGAATATTAGAAATATCATATTTCTTTCTTTTTTACATTTTATTTATTCATTAGCATGCAGATCTCTTTTCAATTTTTCCGTGGACTGAACTATTAGCCCTCCTGCTCAAAGTAAATAATGCTACTGTAATGATATGCTTGGCAGGAAAACAAGAAATTTAATATTTCTTAATAATCCAAGCTTCTAGGTAAAGTATTGGAACACCCAAAAAAATAGACTTCTAAAATTTTCTTTTTCTTTTTTAAATTTATTTAATAAAAGCATAATATAACATTAGTAATATATTAATTATATTTCTTTTTACAATTTGTTTATCAGTCAATGAGACAGA